TCACCCAATGTTATGTTCATACAGACATGGTTGACAAACCAACAGCCCTGTGATTGGGCATTTGTGGTGGGCAGGAGCAAAGCAGTCGCCAGTGGTGGTAAATTATTAGTAAATCTTTGTAAACAAGGGGTTCTTTTTACTTTTTGATAGCTGTTTTTGCAATCCCATTTATTTACCACCAAAACAACCTTAGTCAGGTTGTGTTGCTGTCCCTATAATTGCTCTTTTGGGTATCTTCAGTAATTACATGTTTATGCCCGGTGCCAGGCTGCTAACATATATTTTGTGCAAACCATTCATTGGGGGTCTGAGCTCAGGTTTTAATAAGTTTCCCACAGCATAATATTCCCACATTTTGGGTCACTTTCCATCATTGCTTTGACATTTTAAGTGGCCAGTGCAACTTACAAGAACTATATTTTCTATACCCAACATCAACCACCTTAAAATCCTCAGGTTTTTAGAACATGCATGCAGAGACCCAAGATCACACTTATACAGCTACTGTATATCTCCTGCTTAACAAAACGTTGGACATGACAGGAATTTATTTCTGTCCTCTCTGTGAGCAGTCTCACAAGCAAGGATTTAGAGCTCTGAAAGTTCAACAGCATTTTTTACAGCAAGTCGTTGTTGTAGTTTCATGTGGTTGCAGGCCAAGAATGTAAAGTCACCATAGAGACTGTTGGGAGATTTAATTCTAGTCTCTCTTTTCTGTGTGATCAGTACTCGACACTGATGTTGTTTAGCTGGTGTCAAGCAATATGTAATGATAATGCCCTAGTCTGTGTTGTTTGGTTGGATTATTAACTGTAATAATACTCCAACTGTGCGAAAACAGCAATGGCAACGTTTTCTCACAAAACAAACTTTTTAAAAATTCAGAGAAGAAACACCTGTGTATGCACACATAGTCAGAAGGCTGCAAGACCAAACCACTGTGCTGAAATGATTAGGAAACACGCCATGCAACAGTCAGTTTCAACAGACAGTTTCCTTCTTACATGTGAAAACATCCTCTTTTGTGAATAAATATCATTTAAGAACCCCTCCAGATATGTATTAAGACATATATAATAATAGTCTGCTTGCAACAATAATATGTGTGAGACATGTTTTTCCACAAAATGTATAATTTCCACATTAACTTCCTTAAAAAGACATCTCTGAATATGCAAATTCTGTTCCTTTCTTAGGTTTTCCTTCTGGACAAAATGTCTCCTACTTCACTGTAACGTCTATTCTAGGTGGATGTGCACTGGTGGCTTAAAGTTTGTACATCACACTTTACATACTGGACCAGGGTTGACTTCCTATCTACACAACACTAAACTACACAAATCATGCTTGTAGGCCCCACCCTTTAAAATCAGATTTTCAATGAGCACAGAGAAACTTGTGAAAGTTGTAAAAACATCCCTCTAGTGTCAAACTCTGCACATACATAATTCTGCACAAAAACATATTTTTGAGTGGAGACTTTAAGTAGAATTATTTTGTGAAGTCCAATGCAGAAGCACAAATGTATTTGTTTTTAAAAGGTTAACAGTTAACCAATTAAGTAAGTGTATCCCAACCATGAGACGTTAGATAAGCAATCGTTGAGGAACTTCAGATGACTTCCCGACTTCCTCCCACGTTATCTGCAAAACAACTTGATTTCAGAATGTATTTGTAGCTAGTGGTGTGGCCCTAGGGAAGCCAACATACAACAATTGTGCACTGAGTGTATATTCAATAGATTGCTGTGACATTTGCTACAGATTTTACTTGTGCCTATTTTGTGTTCCTATAAGATATATATATGCAATAATATAGTAAAATGCTATAATACAATAACTGTACTGCTGCTAATAAATCAATGAAGAATGCCTTCAGTCTACCACAATGCTGCTAAATCCAATTTAAAAACTGTTTTACGTCCTCTTCCTTAACACCCAGCTCTGTTTGTTTCCAAGGTAATGTCAATTATGAGATCAGGCTTTTCAGGATGTAAGCTCAGTGGCAAAGATCTTTTCTTTGAGAAAAGTAAATGAGGCTGGTCTCACGACAACCACAGCTGGACTTGTAATCTTTTACAGATAAACTCCTTTGTTGTGGGATCTGGCTAAACAAGCCTGTTAATGATACCTCATGCTGTATACATATTCTCTTACAGTATACTGTCTATTACATGATTTACAAAGCCAGGTGAAAGAGATTTGTTTTTATTCTTTGCCTTTTTGATGCCTTCTCATTTTGCACATATTCATTTATACTTTTGAACTGCCAGGTGCTCAGTTACTTCTGAAACTGCAGGTCATTTTCAGGTTGATTTCTGTTACTATATTGATGGCAGAGGAAGTGTAAATGGAGTCAACACCTGCATTGTAGTTATTCAAAACCAAAATATAGGGGAAGTAGTTAGTGAAAATTACTTCTCTGCTTTATGTTATTTAACGGATGAATCAGTTTTGGAGTTTGACACCAGTGTGTAGGATTTAGTGGCATTTAGCAGTGAAGTTATTGTAACCAACTGAACACTGGTCACGCCTGTATTTGATAAGTTGGAAAAGAGAATGGGCTGTGAAGCGTGAAGGAGAAATTACGCAACTTTACCTCTATGCCACCAATTCCCACACACTGGCCCTTTAAACCCCTATTGTGACATTTGTGTGATAAATGTCCAAGCTGAGCATACGTTTGTGGGCTGATGGTTCAATTCAGAGACTCAAAAGTAAAGTTCACCCATCTGGTTTATGGTTAGGTTGGAAAATTTTGTTCTTTGTGAATCGGATTTGGTGTTTGGCCTTGAGAGGTTTTTTTTTCATAGGAAACCATAATTCTGCTGTAGCTGCTGACACAGACAGTCTTACACAACCACAACACACACCTGCCAGGGGGGACGTAGACCTGCCCAAACCAAAAACTCTTCTGAAACCAACTCATAACTACATACTGTATTACCGTGCACAAAGTGTCATTGTACACTGGCAAAATCAAATACAAGGTGCAGTAGAAGGTATTGCGAATTTTGTTTTTGTTCACATTGTCAGGCATTTTCCAGGTAATCCAAGAGGGTTTTTAAATAGTTTATTTAACTCAAGAAGTAGGAGAATTCAGCCCATAAAGAAACAATCTTTCAGTTTATCACAAACATTCACATTCAAAATCACCACAAAAAAACTAAAGAAACTAAAGCTGTCAGACAAAAGTAGTGGAATAAAAAGTACAATATTTGCCTGTGAGATGTAGGGAGGAGAAGTAACATAAAATGAAAATACTCAAGTAAAGTATTATCTCAAATTTGTACTTAAATCAGAATCAGAATTCCTTTATTGTCATTGTCACAGATGTTACAACGAAATTGGTTGAGCAATCTATCCTCTGTGTATTTAAAAAAAAGATCTACGAATAATAAATAACCACGCGTACCTACATATGTAACCCACATCTATGCGCACACTCACCCACCCACACACACATACGCACGCACACTTCAGAGTAAAATCTACACACGCGCACACAGGTTTGCACTAACAGGCCTCTCTTTTCTGTCTGTGCTTTTGTTTCTTTTCTCATTCATCCCTTGTCACTTTTCCTCTTCCTTTTTTAGGAGAGGTACAGTGTGTTGCACAAGAGGATCAACCACACCTGGGACTTTGTGGTGATGCAAGCCAGAGAGCAACTTAGGTACAGTCACAGTCTCACACACACACACACACAGTCCAAACCCACTCACCCACACAGTCTAGTGCACATATTCCATGAACCACACTGACTGATTGAGTAAATGTACTTAATGACATTCCACCACTGACAGCTGCTGTACGATTTAGAGAAGCAAACCCCATATATGAACACGCACTCTCTCATCCTCTCTTATCCTCCCTTTGATCCCGCCTTTTTCACTCGAATATTATCTGTGGTCACCTTCCACCAGTCTAACAGTAATGCATCACTGTCCCAGAACAGATATCCTTATCACTGTCCCACCCATGAGCTCTGCTTGGGGAAGACCCCATACAGGGCAATCTACAGTGTGTGAACACAGAACAATCCTTCAACAGCACCCACTGTACACGTATCAAAGACAATGTGACAAAGTGACAGCTGGAATCTAAGATGTTACAACATGTAGATGCTGATCTTGGCACCGTTGTTCCAGGATGTTGTTGACATTTCTAGTATAGATATAAATATACAAGGAAGTAATGATTGCTAATTATGGCAACACTGAGAAGGATCACACATAGACATTCAGAGGTATTTTAATTTCCTTCTCAGCATACAGAACAGGAAAGATAGATTATGAGGAAGTAAGATTAAAAATAAAAAACAATCATGCGTGTTGATTAGGATTCCCCAAACTCAGCCATCCTTACTCTAAATGTTCATGCAATGTACTTAAATGTTGACGTAAAAGGCAGCCATCACTGACGCTTGTGCAGAGACTACTATGGATGATGCAATTCTCATCCTGGATGAGAGCAGCTGGGTCCTGGGGAGGGTCAAACATTTTTTTTGGTGTGCTGCAGACTGATGATATGCTATCTGTTCAATAACAGGGGCCATGCTTATGCACACAGGGCTTGGCTGTGACATCTTTGGTTGCGTAATGACCCACGGTTTGGAACAGTCTGACCAGTCTACCTTTAGATATTTATGCTTTTTGTGCTCAGTATGAGCTTCTGATGGTTTGTACACATGCACTCACATGGTTCAAATGAGAGCTTATTCTGAATCCCCCTGCTATTTTCCAAGTCTTTCTTGGTGCTGATATTTAGATTTTGTTTCTACTCCTGTAAACAATATATTTTATCCACATTACAGAGCTCTATAACACATACAGTTCACATAAAGCATTATTAAGCCTATGGCAGAGTTTTCCCTCCATGCCATATTGTACTTTGCAATAATTCGAATATGTATGTGTGACATTTGAAAGCTGATGTGTTGTATTTGCAGCAGGGAGAAGGACAACAGTGACCACCAGTGGCGGGTATAAAGAACAACCAGAGTACAGTAAAAAAATATTTATTGGACAAACATGTTAGCCTCACAGACTTTTAGCAAAAGCAAATCTGCCTATTAACATCATAATACATAATACATCACCCACACAGTAATTCATACACACCAACAAACCTCACTGCCCAACGTTCACACACACAAACAGACGCAACAAAGTTTATTTTAGTGGCTGGGTCGGAAGGGGAACGGCATCCCCGTCATGAAAGGCTGAGCGGGGTACTGAGGGTGAGAGGAGGGGTGGGTGGCTAGAGGTGCGTGTGGGGTGTGTGCAGGGTGTGTGGCGATGGGGGAGTGAGCCGCGTGCGGGCTGAAGGCCAACGGAGGGGTGTGGATGTTGTTGTAGTACATCACTGGGCCTGACAGCACCAACTGGAGCAAACTGGAGATACGAATACAAAAAGAAGTGAGGACACAGACAGATGAGGAAGAGGAGAGGGAAGAAATGTTGAGATGGAGCGAAAAAACGTTAAGTATCAGTCAGGTTTAGGCTAGGGCGGCACAATATGGTTAAAACATCATATTGCTCATTACCAAACATGATTTGGAGGCCAGGGGATCTCTTCCGCTCTACAGTACTTCATTATAATGCTATTTTAACCTTATGATATAATGGCAGCTTCTGCGATTTGCATATTGGGATTTTGATATTATTTTGATTAACTGTGGACACATGTTGTACATCACAACAAAAAAATCTGAGGGTTGAGACAGACCCACAATACAAAGAGTCCCTATCAAAACTACAATTAGCTATTATCAATTCTTTAAATAATTCTGATTTTGTGTGTGTTTATTGTTATTAGACTACAGATAACCCTTAAGCTGATGCTATGCGTGTCAAACTCTTCTGCTATATAGTTCTAGCTGAAACAAAGTAACCAGTGGCAGTTAATGGTTCTTACTTGTTGTGTGGGAGGCGGGAACAGATGGCTCTCAGGTCCTCTGTAGAGACAAGGCAACATGAAATATTCAATCAACCCAGCATGACAAGACAATCCATATGACAAGCCATCAAATAAGTCACTTATTTAGTCGCCACTTAAAGCTCAAATCTGTAGCTTTTCACACAATGTTGTCCTTTGCAGGTCTACAGCAAAGAAGGTGGAGGTGTTGTAGATGTATATGAGGAAAGTTTTCAGTTTCAGTCCTGTTGGAAAATGCACTGGCTACGAAACTGTGATGCTATTAGGCGTATTTATGAAAATAAGTTAAGTACATTGATTCTTTATTTTCAAGTGATTATACACAAATGGAAACATACCTATAGTGTGTATTCCATTCCTGCCATTAGATCTTCCTAAATGGTACACAGTGGATCTTTAAAAATGTCTTGAGTGCTTTGTAAGCTCTCAGTATGATATTGTCTTTAGTAGACAGCACAGCGGTAACTAACAGGACAGAGACAAATGGACTCTAATATCTGTCAAATTAGTTTCCAATCTCAGGTGCAGCTACTGAGTTAACCTATGACAAGGCAGGAATATTCCCTAAAATTTAAATCTAATTCATCTCCTCTATCCACTTTTCTAGCCTCATCTATACTACTTTTTATTTATCCATCTCTCCTTTCTACAATCTTACCTCTCGAGCAGAGCAGAGCTCCATTGGCCATGGCCACCTGCAGGGCCTGTGCCAGCCGATCCAGGGTCAGCTGGGACAATGCGTGTGTATCTGCGGATGACGTGTGTGTGTGTTTGTCGGCCTGGTCCAACAGCCTGGAGAGGTCAGAGGTCAACGTGGCCAAGGACTCCATCTGGAGCAGTGCCAGACGACCGAACAAACCCTTCTCATTAAGTATGTTCGGCAAAAGCATGAAGACCTAGATGTGGACGGATAATGGCTTGATTATCTTCACTGTGTATGTTAGAGGTGTTTTGTAAACTGCATATGAATGTATAATGTAAGGAAATGTGTCTAATCACACCACACACCTGTAGGACACTCAGATGGAGAGCAGAGAAAAGAGGCCCCACATCTGGCTCGCTCTCAGTGGTGCCATTGGTCAACGCCAGCTTTTTGTCTCTCCTGTAGGCCAGCGGCGCTTTGACGCACCAGCGCACCAACCCCCCTAATGGTGTGACATCAAGTGAGCTGATTGGCTGGCTGCCTGAGAGGGGCGTATTCAGGAAGGTGATTAGCACTAGGCGAGGGTCATCTTGGATCCACGAGGCAATCATCTGGAGGAGTTCTAAAGGAGGGGTGAGCTCCTCTAAAAACACACACACAAAGACATAGTTAAAATGACTAAAAGGATGCAGAACATTGAAAGAAAGGACTCCAGGTTAGTTGTTTTGGCACTTTTGTGTTATCCCACCAAAGTACCTGAGGTGAGGTCATAGAGGGTGGTGACAGCAGTGATGAACTGGCAGCAGAAGCGTGGGCTGGCACTGTGGATGTTCTGCAGGGTGGGCACCGAGCCTGGCACCATACTACAGTAGTCGTCTACCAGCACCTGAGCCAGGCGCACACAGTACACACGGTGGGTTCTCTGCAGGACACAAAAACATCCAGAGGCACATGTTCAGTACATCCATTCATTCCGACTAGCCTCACGCTCAACATCTAAAAGTCAAATGGAACACTTAAACATGTTTGAGTCCTCACCTGTAACCAGGTAGCAGCACATTCCAAGATAGGAACCCTGCCCACAGCGATTGCCATGGAGACCAGCTTGCCTAACAGTGCCATGCGACTTTCATCCGCCTGGTTGCCTTGGAGACTGAAGAGGGCTGAAAACATAAGCTGACGGACAGTATCGCGGCTCTGCTCCTGGAAACAGCTGCACATGATCTCCAACAGCTGGAGCTCCTGGAGAGCGCTCATCCTCTGGAAGAAAAAGGACAAGCGGTTGGCGGTCCACATTGGTGCATATATATTTTGGATACAGATGTATTAGGATTCAAGGGTCATGCGTTACCCTGGGTGGGGTGTTTCTGTCCTTGGGTGCGTGCAGAATGAACTCCTCCACCAGCTCCAGGGTTTTGGAGTCGACCTGAGGGGGCTGCCTCCCCGACTGCACCAGGTTACAGATGTAGATGTCCAGGTGATACAGCAGCTCCTTGGCTGCGCTCAGCACATCGCGAGGCAGCAACGACTGACGGATGTCACCCATTACCACCTAACACAGACCCACACAACATTGGACGCATTTCAAATCTCCATTATGAGTAAAAATGTGTTGTGTTGAAGAACTATTTCAGATTATGTGTTTAAACTGTAATTGATGAGTTAACTGATTTTAAACAATCAATTTAAGCAACATGGGCATAATGTTGGAGACTTGGCTTCATAAGGTCTTGGAATAATATGTGGGAGATATGTGTTTTATACTTCATGCAGAAACTACATACATCTTAAACTACATACATCTAGCTATAACACAATGCACTGATCCTCAGCCTGCCTGTCCTTACAATAAACCCGCCTGTGTACAGCCTGTACGCCGATACAGAGACAGCAGTTAGAGTCCAGTTCAGCTTTAACGTTACATTTCTATCTATCTGTGTTGTAAACTGTAGGCTCACAGCTGTTAGTGAACACTTTCCACAGCCAGCCGCTCTCCTCCATCCTGCTACAGCTAAGGTTAGCAAGGTTAGCCATAAACACTGTTTCCTGTTCCGCAACAAATCCCACCTGCGTTAGTTCTCTCCACAGCAGCCACTAAAAGGAAACACTGGTGTTTAGTGAAGCTCTTACCTCTGCAGAAAGCTCTGAATAGACTTAAATGAGCCGGTGATGACACTAGTGAGTGGTCGCAAAACGACGACGGAACCACTTCCTGCTTCTACGGAAGCCGGCGTGGGATAAAATTACGGCCATTGAGGTTTTCAGCGGAATCCATGTGCTGTTTGTTAAACGTCAACAAAGACTGTTTGATTCATTGTCAGAGTGCAAGTTCTGTAAGCATGCGGCACATGTGGAGTACATGAAGATGTGTCTTTAAGTTACTGTGAGTTAGTTTAACCCAAACAGACGTACGCTCTTTCATAATTAAAAAAAACAAGCAAACTTTCTATTTTAATCTCACATAAAACGAAAAGCTATTACATGTATTTGCTTCTGCAGTACCTTTGGATATGTTTATAAATTATGATTTTTCAAAACCAAAACAGAGTATTTTTTATTTTTTATTCCAAAATTACATTGAAGGCAATTGTTGAGTTTATATTAATAGGCCTATTCGTATTCAGTCGTAGATATTTATATTGTAAGAAAGCCTATTTTACCCAACCATGTTATCTTTGTCGAAATTGCTTATTTTATTATCTCACGCAGAATTGCGTAATTGAAAAAAATATTCTTTTCTCATTTATAAGCCTATATATTTACGTTGTAGTTGTTGATATTCTTTAGGCCTGTATGCAATGCTATTTAATGTTATTTAGTGTGATTTTCTCTGAACGCTTGCAGTACAACACTAACCTATTCTATTAAATGACCGAGAGAAGGATGTGTAATACTGTGATGTTAAATATGTGGTCACAGCAGATGGATGAACTGGGCTTTTAACTTGTGCTGTTGTGTTAATATAACCCTGTATCATTATTCTACAAAATGCCCCATTTAACTGTGAGTTTGTTGACCTCATCACACTTCGCATATCTTCGTATTTCATATGATAATCCTATTTTTTCAGAATTTGAGGATATGTTATTTACCTTTTCACCTTTTTTTATTTACCTTACATACATCAGTGGCAGAGATAGAAACGCGTATACACAGGCTGTTGTTTTAGCCTCTGTATAGAAACTATATATTATATTAAAAACACTGTAATCCCTTCTAATCTAGACGGGGGCGCGCCCGCCAGGCACCGGAGCGCCTGATGGAAAAAAAAAAAAAAAAAA